AACTATGGGTCTAAATCTATTCCTTTTATTCATTACTCATAGCTTCTTCAATGTACCATCACAAATAACTCTGGCTACTTATGACAGTCTTGAATATTAATGCTTTCACAAAGGATCTTTAAGTTACTAGACATGACCTTGACCTAGTTGGAGTCAGTTCCTGAGGTAATTAGCTCTCCTCTCCTTGGCTTGATGTAAAATAAGTGTAGTTCTATTAACAGCTGACTATTTGTAATCCTGTAGTGGGCTTGATTTAAAATTAGTCCAGATTTATCAATATCTGTACATGTATATTTGTAATCCTGTCCCCAACTTGATGTAAAATTAGTCTGCTTTTCTGAACAGCTTTTATTTCTTATATCTACTTATGAACTTAAAAGAACTGGGTCACACAGGGGTCAATCAGAGGTCAACTCAAAGACTGCAATTCAAGCAACTGATGAGTCAGAGAGAAGTAGAAAAAGACGAGAAGTAATTGAGGCTGTTCTCCTACATTACAGACAGATCAATCAAGTTTGTGTATATACTTCTGGTCGAAATCAATATCCTACCGGACATCGACCTGGGACAGCAACCTGCTACCTCCCCAGTGATACCCCGTCAAATCAAGTTACATAATAAAACAGCCTTACAGGGATTCAGCATGGTAGGTCATTACACTAGGATTCTATCGAGTCTTGATATCACTTGGATGTTCAACACTCCCTAAAGTAAAACAATGAATTTGAATGCCTGTATCACTTTACCACTTATTCTGGTGAAGGTTATACACTTAAATTTACATAACCAATACTCACAATAACAAAGTTTATCTTTAACTAAATCATTTCCTTACCACTTAAACTTTAAAAATAAAACCATGAATCATGAATTGTCCTTGTTCTTTACATTGGCACACTAATAAAGTATCTAGTTAAATCATTATGAATTCATTTTATTACTTACATATCTATTCTGCCATGTTATAATCTTTACATGATAAGACACACAATGTTTGTATTTCTTGAGGTTTATCCCCCTATGAAAAGCCATGGTCATTGTGAGACGGTTTTCATTCAGTAGCTGGTAACTACTGTACTGAATAACATACTGGAGGCCCTTTGGATGCTGCCGTAGCAATTACGGTAAAGAATGGTAGAGTAAAGACACAACAATTTTGGCGGAGATTGGTATATTATTCAGCTTACTAAGAAACACAATCTGCCACGGGTCGAAACGTCAAACCACACACCTCTGATCTTCACGAGAGGTTATGTAGGCCAGCACTATAACCAAATGAGCTATCGTGGCCCCACACACTATTGTGACATCATAAGAAATGACATAAAGCTTTCATCTCAGCTGTGTAATACATGCTCTCAAAATTAACATTAGCTTGACTTTTGAGGAAACTACTGCAGTTTTTCCCTTATTTTCATATTTATTTGATGAAGAAAAGCTTACATGAGTGTCTATGTCATATTGCTTTTATGAAACTTGTTCAATAACATGGGTCATGTCATATTTCATTTAGTGAACAGGTATAATAAGTACACTCATGACGTTAAGACACAAAAGATCCTCTATTCATGATACCAGAACCATGAATATTTTGTAGTACAGGTGAATTCAACTCAAAAGTTCTACATTGGCTATGCTAGTGTATTTAGACACTGTAAAATATCACAAACTGAAGACCTCTATAGAATACAGGTAACGATTATGCTGACGGTGAAATTTACCTTTCAATAAAGGTGATGCCATCTACCTACCTACAAGTTTGACACAAAGACCAACGCAACCTTTGTCAACCCTTCAGCCCCATAAAACATCAAACATGATGTAATTTAAGTGCACTGGAGTATTCAATGTACAGGTGATACTCTGCATATTGTACAAGACACCAAGCTTTTTCTACCTTTTTTTATCTCTACCTGTCCTACATGTTACGCAATAACTATGTTACGCAATATCAACTATGTTCTGCCATTCTCACCTTCCTGCATGTTTTAAAAATTTCCATCGTTTTTGCCTTCCTTTATGTACTTTATTTCTTTTTTATACTTTCAACATGTATCTAAAATCTACCATCTTCCCCTTCTAATTTGTACCTAAAATCTTCTACCTTTCTCTTCCTATTTCACTACTTGCATCTGAAGTTTTCTTTTTACTACCTCCATATAGCAATTTCATATCTTACATACCTAAATCTAGAAATTTCATAACTAACATATACAATTACCTGCAAGGTAATTCTTATCTGTGACACACAATGAACTGTTGTGTTTAACCTACATATATCAGTAGAGATATATAAATACACTACTAATGAATGCATGCTATGACATGAGCCAGTCTAGTCTACAAATAACACTGCATTATATATAGGAGTCATACATTGACCTGTTTTCAGACTTAGAGGGTCCAGAGGGATTTGTGGGCTTCAGGGCAAGGAGAGAAAATTTGCTATCATGTTACCTGCAGCAATTTGAAACCTTCAAAGCTTTTCAAACTATTTTTTATATTTTTTTTTCATTTTAGAACAACTTTAAAAATAAAAACATCTTTTCTCTTTAATTCTTACTAACTCCAAAACCATGTGCTTAGTTTCTGTTTTGATTTTAAAAATATTCTGCACAATAGATATGCATTTGAGCTTTAAAGCTATACAATGTGTCCCAACTTATATTACACATAACAAGCTCATATAGATTGCAAATTTCACTCGGTAGTTGAACATGGCCATGTAGCTTGAAATATAAGTTAGAAACTACTGTTTCATTAATTAAAAGTAGAACATGATTGAACTGATCTATGTTACCATCCTCCATTTTAGCTTGAGAAAGATATCAAACTACAGAGTCCTAGTTAATAGAAGTTTACAAGAAGTACAGATAAATTGCTACAAAAACTTTCCTAAATCTAATTAAGAAATTAAGACTTTATATCAACACTAACTATACTAGGAGAGTGGTATTACTGATTAATTTTCTATATATGAACTTAAGCAAGGTTTGAAGCCCAGTAAACATATTTCCTTTTCTCCCCTGTCCATGAGGCACAGGTAAAGTGTACCTTCAACAGTCATGACACAGATAACTGATAATACAGTTAACTAAGTCCTTAAAACCAGGTCACAATCTCAAAGTGATCCAAGTTACACATGTTCACACTTACATACACAGAGGCAGACACAAAGTTTGTTATAACAGTGACTCTACCCCTTCGGCTCTAGTCCAAGGTCAATTCCATCATGGACTTGTTAGTGTTAACATCCAGTGCAATTCAATTTCAGCGCATTATCACATTTTAGCAAATAAGGATAATGATACATTAATGCACATTAATTGCTTCATGTATATATATAACATAGAGAAACTACAATGACCACTACATTTCAGCCCTGTATCAAGATTGTCTGTACATCTTGTGTCTTTTATGAGTTGGTTATAAATTTCTTGTCTAGCTTATCATGTCTCTTTGACCATCAACCAAATATCAGATGCATCAAAGAAGCCAGTTTAATTCAATTCTTCAAAGGGATCCAAGTGGTACAGTTTACCTAACATATTTTAAGAGTGGCAAAATATTTCACAAAGTCTTATCTCTTTATCCTGCTTTAGACATCACCAGGTGATACAGTTATATCTCGGTTTAATGTTCTGTAACTGTTACCAGTTATTTCCAAAAAGAATTTCTGAATTGCATATTTCAGGTAACCAGTTGATTGGTAATATTGATGCAAAAGCTAGTTTTCTCCTTTTAATCTAAGGTGTAAAGTACTACAAAATAAGGTCACTCGTGGTTGAAACCATCCATGTAAATCTGATGGCTGAAACCATCCATGTAAATCTGATGGCTGAAACCATCCATGTAAATCTGATGGCTGAAACCATCCATGTAAATCTGATGGCTGAAACCATCCATGTAAATCTGATGGCTGAAACCATCCATGTAAATCTGATGGCTGAAACCATCCATGTAAATCTGATGGCTGAAACCATCCATGTAAATCTGATGGTTATGGATGTAAATCTGATGGCTGAAACCATCCATGTAAATCTGATGGTTATGGATGTAAATCTGATGGTTGAAACCATCCATGTAAATCTGATGGCTGAAACCATCCATGTAAATCTGATGGTTATGGATGTAAATCTGATGGCTGAAACCATCCATGTGAATCTGATGGGTGAAACCATCCATGTGGTTGAAACCCGTCCATGTGGTTGAAATCATCCATGTAAATCTGATGGTTATGGATGTAAATCTGATGGCTGAAACCATCCATGTAAATCTGATGGCTGAAACCATCCATGTAAATCTGATGGCTGAAACCATCCATGTAAATCTGATGGGTGAAACCATCCATGTGGTTGAAACCATCCATGTAAATCTATTTCAAATCTAAGTACAATCATTTTGTTTCAAATTATTCAAAATTGATGTGAAGGTCAAGAGCAAATGCTGATATACAGACATCTCCATTTATTGCCTTTGATGTAGAGGAATCTAGCAGCCAAATGAGGTTAGTTTCTGTTACAAAGGTCAAATTACAGAAGAAAAAATTAGCTTTTTCAATTATTGTATTTTTCTAACATGGCATTTTCTAACTGAGCAATACAGCTTCCCCAAGGCGAGACAAGAATACTACTTGTGCTTCTTCTTTGATCTAACATCGTTATAAAACTAAAATTTATCTGGACTTAAGAGAAACATAAACATCAACTAGGTGATGGCCATCACTATTATAAAAGGCAGACGTTGTCCTTGAACATAGTAACTAAACCATGTAAATGACTTAGCACATTTTTGAAATGTTGACTTAAGTAGAAAGATATTGAAGAGAAACTTAATAATGAGAGGGATAGCAAAGAAAACTTGTGAATTTATCACTTAGTATTGCATCAATATCAACTATTCCTTTTAAAGGATTTCCAATCTCCATTCTATGGTCATTTCATTCATGTTGCAATTCTCTCCATTGGTATTGGATGTTTTGAAAAATTTAATACACTTACTAAGCGTGTGAGAGGGCTCCTCTCCATTTGTGTTCGGTGTCTCTGCTGTTTTGATGTGGGCCTTGGCTGCTGCTTGTTTTCGGGACTCTACCACATCCGGCATTACAGCATCGATCAGCGATAGAGACTCAATAACTTTTTCCGACCCATCCTTAAAAAACCACAGAAATATACTTGTATTGGCAAATGAGATTAACCTAAGTTTCCTGAATGCTGTGTTCTGATAAAAGTTTAAGGTAGTTTCTATACTGCTAATCAAGATACATATATTTTTCCTGTTAGTTAAGTCATTACTCCTTAAAATAAAATCAATCATGATTTCTATACCACTCTTCAAACAACTTGTTTTTTTATTTTATAAAACTGGCATTTATCTCACCAAAAACATCAATATTTCATCAAGAATTTTTTTTCTCTGAATACTGACCAGCTTGAAGTCGATCAGAAACAGAAGTACCCTACCTACCTCTCCAATACTGATTTCTGCCTCAGTGTACTGGAGGCCTTTTTGTATGATATTCAGGAGTGCCGCTGGAGGCACAAGAGCCCCATTTATATTGGACTGGCTGATGTGGCTCTCTATACCAAACGTGTATGCAGAATGAACAAAACCTGAAACACAACAAAATATTCTGTAAAATTTGGTATCACAACAAATTGTAATAGAACATCAGTGACTAGAAACCAAGTAGATTTTATCTCCTTGACACCATACTTTTCTCCTCTCTAAGATATCAGTTTTCTCATTCAAACAGATGTCAATACCATTGTAAAATTCAAAAAATATCTTGACAACAGTGAATTGAAAATCTATTTTTTCATGTAGAACTTTTGCACAATTGGCAAGGGTTTTCAATTGACCTCTGACATTTTGAAGTGTCGGAAGATAATGACAGTTTTTCCAAAACTTAAAAAAAGCCAAGCACATACCAAATAGACATGTCCTTTCACGTCCAACAGGCAAATTAAGTTAATTTTTTTAAAGCCGAAATGAACTCTCAAAAGTCTACAAAATACTTTCCCAGATCTCATCTTGGAAACTTATGGTATATATCAAAAAGATCATGTTTCAATTAGATAGTCATGATCCCTACTTTCTACTTACAACGAAAAAAAAGAAAGAAAGACTTTTCTTCTCATTTTGAGACTTATCTAATAAACATTGACTAAGATGGTTGATGTGCTGATCTTAATGACATGACCTTCGTCTGTTTTTCTCCTATTCCTAACTATAGAGCTGATGATTTAGTACAATTGAATTTCATGTATAGTGGGCCCCTTGATGAAGTTATGCATTAAATTTTAATCAACAGAGTAAGGGAGACATGCTGGGTGAATGGAAAACACATACAGGTACTGATTTCCTACACTGTAAGTCTTTGGAAACTAAGCCATATATCTCACCTCACACCTCCTCAAGAGAGTCTTTTAAACAAGGTTCACTTAAATGGCATTCAATAGCAACATTTGACGAGGGTTTACAAAACACTCCTGAGGCAATTTCATGTCTCTTGGTTAAAGTTATTCCACTTCCTGTTTGTAGTTAGAGAGCACATTGACTTTATAGAGGTAATAATTCAAGCATGCGTTCACACACAGAACAAGTCTTCTAACACATCCTACAGATAAAATGGTCTCAAAAGATTTCCAGTGCAATTAATTTATTCTTAAATGTGGTGGTTGTTCTAACATAACAAGCAAGACACAATTTACACTGGTATTTGTGACATGCAGAATCAAAGATTACGTCCATTTGAATGACAAGGGACCAAATGGTCCTGTACTCCTCATCCGATATTCATATCAATACTACCCACTATTAACATCAAAGTCACTCACTTTCATGTTAAAAGTTGAGGTAAAATTTATATCAATTTCATCACACATCATAGTTTCCATATGTTACTATGGAAATTTGTTACTATGGCAACTCGTTTATGTATCCAAAGCCTTTTACCCATAATGCCTCTGGCAAAAAAATGTATATAAATTTCCAAACCATCTCTTTTAAGATATGATACTGCTTTCTACACACTAACACAATTTGAATTTATTTTCATTTTATTCTTCAAAAATTTTTTGAGCACCTTGAAATAAAAATATCTATTCACAAGGACATCAAAAGATTTCTGTTTTCACTGAGAGTTATTCAATCTGTGGCACATATCTCTATAGGTAGCCAATCAATCAGTGGGCAGCCTGGCACTCTGTAACACCAGCTCTGAAAAGGTTATATATGTGTACCAAGACAGCTATTTCTACTGGCAAGGTCTTCCGAAATCTATTTTGTGATAGCTGGCATAGTGCCAAACCATTTCAAATTCAACTTGGAGAATTCGTTTCAGAAGTTCTAAATATATCTTCATGCTAAACATAATTGGTACTTACGTTTGACATTGAAAACCTCGTTAGAATTGAGCACCTAAATAAAATGTCTAGAAATACTTCAGCGAAAACCTTCACTATATGATGGTGAATTTGGTGGAATTCGATAGGAAAATCGGACTAGTATACCAAGAGACTGCCCAATGCACGTTTTTTATACCTAAACAAGATTGTAAGAATACTTTAAGTGAGAACCACATCCTGTATACTTGTACCTGTGAATTTATGGGTAGATGATACTTTCATCAGCTTGTGAAATTAATTCTATCAATTTCTAAGGCTTAATTAACAGCATGTGTTTGCACTAGTATATAAAATACATGGAATTCATCATCTATATTACAGAAGATACTATTTAAACAAATTTTCTATCCAGACTCAGCTAGACAGAACTAGACACAACACGAGGTCACATAATGTATACATAGCAAATATGGACTAGTTGTACAATTCATCAATCGACAGTAAAGTTTAACCTATTATCCATTTACATCATCAACTTTTGATATGAAGAGCTTTAGTGCAACAATTTTTTTGTGTTTGTGTTTTGGCTGGCATAGCTCATTTGGAAGAGTCTTAGTCTACACAACCTAAGGTGAAGATCCTCTGAGCTGTGTCCTTGAGCAAGAACCCAATTGCTCTGGATGGCATGTGACGGGCCTCCAGTGCATTGTTCATTCAGAAAGTCACCAGCAAAAGCAAGGCAACCCTCAACCCTAGCTGTTGACTGGACTGCAAACATCACACTGTTTGCATACTAGATGTATGCAAAAAAAAGTCAATCACAACATGTATATATATAGTAGATATATATGTATCAAATTGTTTGTGTAGTGTTAAAGAAACTGGAATGTTTATCCTGTGGTGCTTGAAGCGACCAATTGTAAGTGTAACATAAGTGAACCAGTGTATAGCACACCCACCCAGTAAATATGTATGTACATGGCTGTCGACTGCAGTACAGTAGACAACCTACATTTATAATGTACCTTTATCTTTGACCTCAAAGCTTAGTACAATGAAGTAACTTACAAGTGCAAGGTCACAATTTGTTGACAGTCATGATTAGTACAGAGATGATCAGTGGAGAACAGGTGTGGCTTTCGACCTTATCTGTATGTCCACAATAAAGGTAAACTATGCATGTACAATCAGTACAGTCTCTCCTTCACCTTGTAACCTCAATTTTTATCTAGTAAGGGTAACATTTAGCAATATATAATCTACCCAGTTTCTACTTTTACTGCTACCTATAGCCCTTCAAAAGAGGACAAATAATTTCCTAATTAATTTTATATTCTTTACATCTGCACAAACATTTGCATACCTGCCAACTTTTCAAAATTATCAGGAGACAGAAAAGTGTGTGAATAACATTTTTGACAATCAATACATCTACATCAATTTAAATTGATAAAGTGCATGTTTTACTATACTATAACAATAAAAAAAATGTAAGGTTCAATTTAAAATTAATTCATTTGAACTCTCAGTATTCATTGAACTCACACAATATAACAGATATTAAGATTTATGATTATCTGTTTGGTTGTTTATAAGTATATGTATTACCAAATATGATGCTTCTGAAAGAACTTGTTTAATTGAAATAAGGAAAAATAATAATAATCATCTCATGAAATTTTCAGTAAGTGAAATATTTCTTTGATCTGATTTTTAACTCATAATGCCAACTTTTCAGGACTGATATAGTTTAATTGGTATTGATTCAGGAGCGCTTGCACGTTGTTACATCATAAATATCATTTTTCAAACTATTTTCTTGTTGAAGTTGTTATTTGGCCGAATAGGTAGTATAACTACTTAATTATCTGTGGAATGACATCATCTTAAGTAAACCTTTACCAGCGCTGACCCCTGAGTCCTGACCAATGGTCTACCATTAATTAGGTAGGGAACCATCAGCAGTGTAGAAGTGTGCTCCCAAGTGTAGGGGTCGGCAAAGATTAACTTGAATTGGGGACATTAATTAGATAATTGGGCTGTGTACTCACCTAGCTACCCTTGATTATGTGGTCAGTCTTACCAATTTGACAAATATAGCCAGGTTACCTACCTAGGGGAATCTCTGAAATTGGGAGATCACCCCAATTTTGATCCATATAATCGGGAAGTGGGGCTGGGGAATGAAAATCGAAATACTCCCAACTGAATCAGGAAAGTTGGCTAGTATACATTTGGTCTTATTCTCTTTGTCTAACCTACATTCTATAATTTTAAAACAAACATTTCTAAGACGACAAGTTTAGTGATCTCGTGCATAATCAGTCTAGTGGAAATGTGCCTATTTATAGCTCAACCAAAACAAAAGCACCTGAAGTAGAATGGCATTTTCAGATTTAATTTGTAAAGTTCATCATGCTAACAATGACCAACATGAGATAGATCTGACATGCAATATACACATGACATTTACACAAAGCAAATCTGTTGTTGAAATGGCCGTTTATAGTAATGGCAGTATTTTCTATTCTCAAGGTTTCAGACAGGAGGTCGTGTTTTAAAACATTTGGATGGGAACAGACTGGTAGATTTAAATAAACATTACATCACAATTACTCAACACATAATATGCTGAATAAGCAAACTCAAACATCTATATATTTATCAAAAATTATTTATGAAATCTAACTGACGGAGAGGACAGATAATTTATTGAATATCCTTAATCATATATAATCCATGATCCATCAAATGAAAAAGTGACATCCCTGACCAATTGGTCACCAGAAATTCAATAATGACCCAATCAAAATCTGCTCAAAAAACACATCCTTTCCATTTAATGGATGACTGAAACTATATAGAAATTGATGACATCAATATGAAAGTGACACCAGGTAATTATATAAACATGAAATCCCGTTTTAACAAATGAAGTAAATGGTAGTCACAGTCAATCATCCTCCAGTATGCCATCGATACTAAGTGCTTATTTTTACATTTGTCTGGAATGAAACTTTGAAATACCTGAGAGTAAAACTTGGCAACTGTGGGTGAATCATATAAATACATGACCGCAGATATGTCACAAACAAACGGTGAGTACAAGGACTGGCACTCTGTATAGTATTCACTCTTTACACGCAAAATTCAGCACTTGCAGTTGAAAAGTGTGTAGCCTGGAGAACGTTAAATCAACCTTGCAAATTCCACAAATTTATTTCAAAACAATGTCTTATTGTCATTACACATGGTCATTTACA